TCCATTGCCTCTGCCTGTGTGAGACTAAATACAGGATGCCAAACTTCTATGAATTATTTCAAATGTCTTCAAAGAGATTAATAAACAGATAAATATATATTCCATATATTCCAACAAAATATGTGCAGGAAGCTTCAAGCATCCCCAGAAAACCTTTTAAATTCAGATCTTACTCTGAATAAAGTGGTGTAAAAAAAGGTGCAAAAAATTTGTTTGTTTCATGGGATAAGGACCAAATCCAGACTTAAGAGAAAATAGAAGACTAAATAAAACCCAGTTAATTTCACAGTCACTCTGCATCCAAATAAATACTCTTTCCCCTTTTAGTAATTTTGAAAGCAAAACTATTAGAACACCCTTTGATACATCAAATCACATACTGTGTGTAGTCATATGCTTTATATACTTGCAGTCAAACTAAAACTGCAGATCCACACTTACAGTACTCAGTTTCTAAAATTAGACCTTTAGATCCTTAGCTATGTACAAGCCACCTCCTCAAATATATTGAGCTTCCTCTGAAGTGAAAAAAATTGTGAATTTCTTACTACTCAAAATCAGGTTGCTTCTGTGAAACACAGGGAAATAATTTTAGGACCCCGAGTCTGAAACTTTTGGTCAGCATTTCATAAGATTTTCCAATGTAAAAAAGCACAGCAGCATATTTAATCTCTCAATATTTAAGAAATAATGTTAGTCATACATCATGGTAAGACATTAAAAAATAATTCATGCAGTTTATCCTTGAAATTACATAAAATAAATTACTTAAACTAGATAAATGGCAAACTATATAAAGTGTTATGCTTAAAATCACATAAAGTAAACAGTGAATCATCCCAGCACAGCTGGCTGTGCTCTACAAGTGCTGCAACTCAACCACCACATCAAAAGCTCCACACCCAACCAGACCCCCTATGCCTCACAATTACACTGAAATCCAGGCTACCTGGCTCCATGTAAATGCCTCCTATCTACTTTCATTTATTTAACATTTAAACTAGTGTTGGTGTACTACATGCACCCTAAATAATGCATGTGCTGATCAATTTGTAAGGAGCCTGAATCTGAGGCACACAGCTTTGCATCACCCCCACCAGCAATGCCTTGCCAGAGACACTTAAGATTTCTAACACTGGTACCTTTTGCTATAAAAATGATTAAACTGCAGTAGAGCTGAAATTGGAACTGAAATATAAGGCTGGATCACTTGCATAATAAACTTTGATTTAGTCATTAAAGACATTATTGCTTCACTTCCCCGTAGACAGTAAGGACAGGCACCACCCTCATATAGTTCTGTGGGGTGATGCCCTGTGGTTGCATTTTATTTTTACTTCTACAGTTTTATCATAAGTAAATCAAGTCACTCTGAGTTCTAAAAATGGAAATTCTTTCAGTGAAGCACAAAGGAGATTTGAATAAATGAGGCTTTGGGAAGAAGGCATTCTTTAACCGGGATTTCCCAGCCCTAGGTCTGGTCCTTTGCCTCTGAAGTCTTTTCATCTCCAACTCCTCTCCCCAGTCCTGAAGGTCTTCTCTTCACTTGGGAGGTGTTGCCAGCACTGTTGACAGATTATTTTCATGCCAGGTGTGTGCACAGAGTCTCTCTGTGCCCCTGCTGAGGCTCAGCTCACCCCAAGGACCATCTCAGAGTGGCTCAGGCTGCCACCCCTCAGCTGGGGTGGCCAAAGGACCAGATCCTCTTACAGAGATCACCATGCACAGGGTCAGGCTCCTCAAAGCTGCCCAGCAGCCTGGATGGGCACAGCTTCCCCCCATGGGGAATGCCTGAGCTGTTTCCAAGATGAGTGAGGGGTTTATGTCCTCCAGGAGTGGTGGCTGTCCTAATGGTGTCACCCTCTCTCTCTGAACAGTTCTGTCACACAGCTTTCCACACAGTTAGAAACAAATGGGCAGCTTAATTCCCAGTCTGCAAATTCTCCCAGATGCCACTGGACAGACACAAAGCACATCCACACTCAAACCTTCCTCCCTTACATATGACCAAGATTTATGGCAAAGGGAAGACATTGAAGAAATTCAACAGAAGAATTCAGAAGGGGCATTAGCAACACCTCAAATCTGCTTTCTGATTCAATATAAACTCAAGACAATACTTAATCTTCTTTTCCTTTTCCTAGTTTTTTGGTCTCCCTATTATAAATCCTTCTTAAACGTGAACCATGGGGTGTTATTTCAGCTCAAGGAGAAAAAGAAATATCAGTTGATTTGTACTTCCAGGTTTTGCTTTTGGACTCCAGTTTATCTTGATCATTAGTTTATAAATCCCAGTTTAAAGCACATTTAAGAGACTGCATTCCAATGAATCATTCTGAAAGGTTTTCTGGCATGCAGACTTAAAAACAGCTAGAAAAGAAAATGGTATCTTTATGTTTCTCCGGACCCACATACAGGACTCATTTCACTCCCTGACACCTAACATTGCAGTTTTCTACCCATAATTCCATTATTTTAGTTTTTTGTAACCATTTTTCGTGGTTTTGGTGAATTCCAAGGAGAAAAATACAGATGAAAAGAGTTGGTTTTGTCATAAATACAGAATTATACAGAAGGACCATAGAAAATGTCTTCCCAGAGCTTGTAACTTCAGCACTGAAGTTTTTACTGATTGTATCAGAAAATTTTCTAGATTCATTGACTTGTACTGATCATGAACAGGACACAAAGCCCACACAGATACCAACACTCTCCAAAGATGTCCATACTTTGCAGCACTTTTGAAACAAAATATGGTATAGAAGAGCTAGAGGATGGTCTGAATCAGCTGTGTCCATCCATCATGCAGCTCACTTCAGCACAGGGAATACATGAGAGTACATACAATGTGAGCCATCCAATGCATTTCCAGCAACAGAGCTGTAAGTTGGTATGCAGATCCCTGGCTGTCTGGAAACTCAGAAAAATAAGACTAAAAGTAATCTCTGTTGCCATTTTGGGATGGGCTTCCCAGTGGGCTTCACTGGAGAAGTCTGCATGCTGACCTCTCACCAAGCAACACCCTGAATTCCATGTGCACACCAACAAAAACAACCCCCACCACTGAGATAGGAGCAAAAGCTGATCCTTAATGGTTAATGGGAAGAGGAGGTGCACACATCCAGTTTTGGAGATCAGAAGCACGCAGACTACATGACATGACATTACAACAACTGTGTTCTGACAGATCCTGAACTTGGAGCTCTCCTCAGCAAGCAGGCACCCTCTCCAAGCCACACAGCACTCACAGTAATATCACACATGAAACAAACCACTGGGCAGCAGGGATGCTGAGGTTTTTGCTGATTCAGAGCTCCAAGCAAACAAGACAAATTGCTTCTTAGCCTCCTTGAAACAGGCATCCTCCTTATGTTTTGTTTCAGCTGCAAAAAAACACTTCTCAGAACAGCAAAAGCCCATATTAAGATATTTTCTGCAGCCAGGTTCACAGGTTTTTTCGACCCATGATAAAAATTCAGCTCTTTGCCTCTGCCTGAGAGTAGGTAAGAGACCAAAGCAATCCAGCCCTCATTTACCAGATTTAATTGAAAATGGGAGAAAGAGAAAAAAAAGTTAACAGCATTTCTTAAATCCCAGGAACTTGACAGTGACATATATTCCTAAGTCACATACCTCTGAGGAGAGGTCATGCTGCCCAGAGTAAATAACAGCTTGTAATTTGCAACGAGGATACCCAGCAGCAGCTCTGTGAGATACATGTGATAATGTGATTTACAGGACCAGGAAATAATTTTCAGATATATGTGCTGCATTAACAATCCAGGTTAAGCGTGTGCTGCAACTTTTCCCTTGAAGGTGCAGTGGGTGGAAGATTAAATGCAACAAAAGGAAATGTCGAGGGGGGGGGAGGGAGGAGTCTCCTGCTGAGATGTTGTGATAAATTATTAAAACTTCTTTTTAATGTTGATGCTACTCTTTAACCTCAGATCACAATACTGACAGCAGAGAAAAGCTGGAAGTGCTATTAAAGCTGTGATAAACACACCATGCTGTGGCAACACTTGTAAGGGGAGGAAAAAAAACAAGTAAAAAAATCCTGGGGGTGCCTCCAATCAGCAATACCAAGAAACAACCAGGGAGAAAATATCAAACTATCTACAATCCACAGTCCCTCAGTCCAAATATTTATGAGATACCATTTATGCTCAGTGAGCTATATTAGATTAGGAGACCTCAATAACCTGTGTTTTCCATAAACAAATGTCATGCAAGGAAGCAAAACAAAGTGAACTTTATGAAAAGGCACATTTAGTGAACTGCTCACAGCACACACAGGGTAAATCTTCCCAGCAGTTTTCAAGAGAAGAGGAAAATGGATTGCTGCCTTCAAAAATCATAAGTGTTTTCTAAACATAGCATTTTTTTCGATAAAGTTAATGCAATTTATCTTTATTAACACATCAACACTGACATAGCCAGTCAGCCAATTAGTGCTGCTGGCAGTGCATTTCACAACATCCATGTATTCTAAAAAAAAAAATGTCTGTCTAGTCATTTTTACCACATATACTAACAATTCTGCACTCAAAATATTGAGAAAATTGCTTTCTTTCTCTCTTCTTCTCCAACACTGTAGCCCCCTGTAACAGGGGTAACATCACTTCCAATAAAGCCACAAGAGTCCCAGAGGCTCCATAATTAAAAGAACAATCTGAATTCTCACAATCCAAAAATTCACTACATTTTTAAATGGCATGCATTTATTTTTATCAAGGCCCCAAACATTATTCTGCTAATGGTACAAAGCAAAGCAAAATTCCTGCAAGGAATACATACCTTACACAGAGACAGCCAGGCAAACTAACAAGAAAACAAATTAAACTCCATGCTCTCTTTTTAGTATCCTACTGCAAGCCCACACAGCAACCTGAAATCTGAGTCACTCAAAATAGCACAGGTATTCTCCTCAGATTACTTTTAATGCAGCTTTTCAGTACCTTACCCAAACATCCATCACAAAACTTTTCCTTTCCACTTACCCCCCTTCCAGTGTTTGCCTTTGGTCCTGCTAAGCTTGCTCAGGGTTGGTCCAGAGAAGAGCAACATCAAAACGAAAAGAAGTTCAAGCATAGTGATTTTCCCCTTTTCCAATGACAACAACATTTCCACAAGTTATTTTAAAAAAATACAAAAAAAAAAAAAAAATTAAAAAATCTCACATCTTCTCCCCCACTTGGTATTTACTTAGGGAAGAGTGTTAATCATTGAAAAATTAGAGCAAGGAGTAGCTTTGCTCCTCTCAGACGTTGAAGTAATTTTTCAATGATGTAGCCCTGAGGAAAGCCACATTTCTCACTGATCCGATTTCTCCCACACAACATGCAGCCAGCACCGCTGCTACTACAGCAGCTATAAAATAATTTCTGCTCCTCACTTGGGTTTCTGTGGGAATATATTCCTCAGCTTGCAGCGTGAGCTTGATTGAAAATGATAAATACAGTAATGCTTGTGTCCAGCAGAAAAGAGAAAAGATGTCAGGATTGTGAAAAAAGATGAGAAGCAGTTGTACTGACAGCTTTAAGCCTGACTGTCTGATCCTAATAGCTGTGCAACCAACCAAATTGCTCTTTTAAGAGTAATAAGGCTTCAGTGAAAGCTGGTGTCACTGCCACTTGGGTAGGTAGTGCAGGGCTTGAAAATCACCAAGGAACCTGCTGGAGATAACGACTGCCACGGTCCCAGCTCCGAGCGCAGAGGGCTGAGCAGAATACACTATGCACAGGGAGCATTTAATCTCTATTGTGTGCAGGAGATTTCCTGCTCTGCACTGTGCCACTGCTCAGGACTTTGCACTGCATTTTCTTAAAGCTTTACTTCACATTCTAAACTAAAATGCAAGCTCCAACACACGAACTGCTTGCAGCGTTGCTGAATTATTGCATGGGAAGAGCCCTGCGTGATTTTTTAATTTTTTTTTTTCTTAAAGTAGCAAACAGGAAGAACAAATCTTTAGGAGTAGCAGCAAGCTTTTCACTGCACAGAGCAGCTATGCATTTTATATTTTCACACTGCCTATCCTCAGGATCTTCAAAATCCAGGGGGCGGGAGCACAGGGTGGAGAGGAAAGGAAAGAGAAAGGGGACATTCAGCAGTGCACACATTCTCAAAATTATAGATTGCAGTCAATTTTCCCTTTAATAGGTGTTGCTGCCACAGAAATAACAGAGCTACTACCTACATCTCCAAATGTTTGTATTTAAGATACACACTGACTCTGCTGATACTGGATCAGCAAACACAGGACTTTCTGTGAAAAATTTCGGATTTTCATGCAAGATATTCTGAGAAAGATTCCTGACATCCAGACTGCTCAAACAGTTTTGAGATGCCCAGTGCTTGCTTAAGTGTGCCCAAAAACTTGAATTCATCTACAGTCTGGCATTTTGTTGTTTCTATATAAGCATGCAGTACTCAAATCAATGAGCCACAAAGCTTGTACTGTATATTAATATAAATAAAAAAATCAATGCCTTTAGAATGACAAAGCAACGATGGCCACAAATTCCCTGAAGTTATCACATTTTCAACCACAGACATGATGCCCTTTTCAGTGCAACATTAAAAAGATGGTATTAATAAATCTAAAGCCTTGCTTATTCATCTGAATAAAGAATGATATTTTGGCTGGTGGAGACAATCATGAACATCTGATATATGTTCAGAGATATTTTTTTTAAACAAGCAGCATCTAATATCACAAACAAGAAAACACTGGGATTTCACCATGACCATATCAATGATGAAGGATCTTTTATTTTTAAGTTCTACAATATATTTATGGGCTTGTGAGAGGATGTAGCATTTGCATTTAGACAGAAAACAAACACATGCTGATGTACAGTTCTTTATCCTTCTGTGCATTAATTTTTAAAAGTTATAAGACAGCCTACCAGATGCTAAGTCTGATACATCAAGGATGATGTTTATGGCTCTTAGTTGCCAAAAAATTAGGTCAGTATCTGTCACGTAGAGTCACTAAGCTGTGGCTTCTGTTAAATTCCTCCATCAAGCCATTCTTAATCACCAGTCTCATTGCTAATAATTAAAACACCATTTCTTATATTTCTGTCCCAACTGTTACTGAAATGAGACAGGCAAACACTCATGTTTGTTTTGATTGCTAGCACCATGTGATGTGTTGAAGAACCAAAAAAACTTAGGAGCTCACAGAGGTTTGACGATTTTTGCATCTGGACAACAAGAAAACCTTAACATAAACAACCCACAGCCCCACCCTCCTCAGGTACCATAAAATTCACTAACTTAAAAGTTTTGGATCAGAAAGCAAACACTTCCAATGTCCAAAATGTGTGACAATATCAGTCATACCTCAAAACTTTTTACAGATTGTCTTGGCCCTCTCTGTAGCCTTATGTCACTTCTACCTCCCATGTACTTTCTTCACTCTGTCTTGATTTAAATCTTATAATCCCCTGAAAGTTTATCACACTATCCTGTTTCTACCTCTACCCATGAGTAAGTCAGCTGCTATGGGGAAAACTGTTCTCAATGGTGGCAAGCATCCTTAAAAATACCCCTTTGATCCCTATACTGCAAAAGAATTCAACCCAGCCTGGTTACCTCCTATTCTCAGCATTGATGAAACCAGTGGCTTTTGGAAGGTAGGTTGAGTTGCTGTCAGCTTTCTGGCAGCTCTGACATGAGCCTCCAGCAGCTCTGCAGCATCAGGTACTGCCTGAGTAGCAGCTCAGGTGATACAGCAGGAGAAGGGCAGGACCACCAAGGAGCTTGAGGAAAACCACCACTGCTGCTGGCTATGGCCATGCTTGGTTCAGTCTAGTGCCTGAACCCAGACTTCCACTCTGATGATGGTTTTCGGCATTATTTTGTAAAGATAAGCTTTGAATCCTTAGCATTATATTAGGAGTGAACAGGCAAGCCTTCAAGGAAACATAGAAAAAGTGTTCTTATGAAATTTAGTGGGGGTTTTTTAATGCCAGGTTCATTAGAATTTCAATTTTCCAGAATTGAAATGCCTCCAGAGGAAAGATATGGTTTTAAGAAAGATTATACAAACTTTGAGGGGGATGTAACATCAGAAAGACAAATAAAACAAACCCAACATTTATTTTTCTTTCAAGTATCATGATTTTTAAGTCAATATCCTGTTTTAGAGATGTAAAATGACTGATTTGGAATTCTATTTCATGCTTTCAGTATGCAGTAGTGGAAACAGAATGAAAAGTAACCAGTCTATGTCTATTAAAAAGCAACCATTATTATTACACCAAAAAATCCTCCAAGAGCTACAAGAGGCAAAACAATTCCATGTCAGATAAATGTCCCTGATGACTGTTTAGTTCCTTTTTTGATTCATTTATGCTTTTCTCCACACCCCTAGGTCCTAGCAATGAGTCCAACACATTTAATTACTTCCTCTTATTTCTTTGAAAAGTATACTTGACAAATTTATTGAGATCATATAGTGTTTTCATCATTAAAAAAATTCCTTTTCACCTTTCCTTGTATTATGGCTTTCTAAATACCCTTAATAAAACTTACTCCAGTAAAAAAAGTAATTTCTCAGACCAAAGATTCCTACACTCACAGCTGTCCTTGCTGCCTTTACCTTAAATATATCCAGTTCTAATTTAGTGTTTATGAGATGAAGTCAAGAGAAAAGCCTGCAGCATTCAGGATGAATTAGCAGTTGTATATCCTCTCCCTCATTCTGCTCATGAAGCCAAAGGGCAGCAGCTACAATTAAGCTGAAGTTATGCTTATAAATGTCTACATCATTAATGAATACAGAGGTTCTTTTTAATTAACAGAATTGTAGGATGTTTACTCAGAGGCAGTGTACACCAACAACCTAAATAACAAACCACTACTGAGACAGTCAGGAAAAAATATGTCCAAGTTAGTTTAATCTGTAGTTGGTATAACCAGCTATCTGGTCATTCTCCCTTTCCATATTTTCCCTCTTTTTACTAATCTGTATCAGGCACAAAAGGCTGCTGGTATGAGCACTTGGTTAAAACCTTCAGGCTTGAATAAATAGCAACAACAATTTCACAGAAGCTTGAATATCAGAGCCCTGAGCAACATGGTCTTGCAAAGGTTATATTTTGGACAGCTCTGCTGCTTTCAGACTGTAGGAGGCACAGGCAGAAGCCTTGGCTGCTTGCTTACTGACAGGTTCTTGGACCCTTTTATTTGGCATCCAGATTCCATTTCACTACAGGGAAGGTTATGGACTTCCTCAAGATCCTTCACGAAATAACACTTCCATCCAACCCAACATTCAGGCTTTTCTCATTGTATATCCTGGCACTTTTTAATTATAGAATTGTCCTAACACTCAGAAAAGCTCAGAAAGATTCACAGCCTTCATTCTTCCAATTTCAGAACACTGGACTATCGGAAAAAATTCAGAGATTTCAGAAAAAGATAGAAATGACGGTTTAGATAGTCACGACTAAGATGAGAAGGAATGGAGACAGAAATTGAAATGTCCATCCCTCCTCCTTAGAAGTTACCAATATTTCATTTTTTCCTACCTCTCTCCTTCTCCATCATCCCAAAGATCCCAAGCAGCCAGCATCTGGCAGCATAAAAATACCCATGACTAAATGAACTTTGCAAAAGGAATATAATCAACACCAAACACAACAAGATGGAAATATCACATCCTTCATTGAAGGCATTAAGAATATTTTTCTGCTGTCTCCCTCACTATAAACAGAGGTCCAAGTTGCTGTGGGCCATAATTAATTCAGTTCTTTGTAGGCATGAAAATTGTTTTGATTTTAAATACTTTCAGCTTAGGGCATTCTAAATATCTGTGGAAAGCTCATGGGGATTTCTGTTAGCCACGGACACCAATGGAAGAAACATTTTAGGATACTTGTAACACATTACCATGCCAAATAAATACAGAGTCTTCTGAAATCAAAAACATATTTGAAATTCCTTCCAATTCACGTGATTTCCAGGGATTAAGACACCAGTGCCTGCCTAGAGCACAGTCTGCACTATCATTGCAGGTATTGTGAAAAAACCATTTCTATTCCCCCTTCCAAATGGAGGGAATAGAATTTGGTTATGAATATAACCAAACAAAATATTCTGGTTATCGCTGCATGCCAGTCCCCAAATACTATGTTCATTTTGGTTTTTGCTGATAATAAAGACCCACAAAATGGTGTCTCCCTGGTTCATAACTAACCAGTAGCTTTGTTTCTTGAATAAGACAGCATGCAGGTTCGATGCATAGCAATACTCTATAATAATTGCTGTAGTGCAGTAAAAGAAACAGGTCAATAAAAAAAGTAAAATAAGTCCAAGATTCACATTCTATTCTGAGGGTTATTTCTTGTTTATGCTTAGAGGTCTAAGGCCTTTCTGATACTCCACAAATTATATTATGTAGAATGAAAAAGTACATGAAATTTATTTCATAATATTCTGCCCTCATCAATCAGGATTTATAGGAGGTTTATATTTAGGTATATACAGAGTTATAATAATTCACTTTGAATATACCACTTATTTCAGTCTTAATCACGCAGAGTTTCAGTTCAAAAAGTAGAAATTTGCTTGATGGAGCTTGTAGGCAACCAAAAACTGCTTT